GGGCATAAAGAACCTGATTTTTTTGGTCCCAATTCATAAAACTTAAGTTTAACCTACTGTTATAAATTTTCCAAGTTTTTACAAGGTCAGAATAGGTTCATCAAATATTCAATGGGACGAAGGATTACTCAGGAGGTACCTTGTAATTTTTAAGGACCATAAAAAAATTTTAGGGCGTAAAGTAACCTTATTCATTGGGCCTAAATCAATTGTACTTGGGTTTGCCCTACTTTCATTAATTTTTCAAGGTCATACAAGTTCAAAATACATTCAATAAAAAATAAGAATGACAGAGGGCGACTTGAAAAGGAGATACTGTGTATATTTCAAGGACTATAAAAAAATTGGACAGAATGAAACCTTATTCTTTTGGCCTTTATCCACAAAACTCATGATTGATCTGCTTTTATTAATTAATCAAGGTCATACAAAGTCATAATAGGTTTATTAAACATTCGGAGGGACGGACGATAACTCCGGAGGTATCCTATAATTTTATAAAACCATAAAATAATTTAAGGGCATGAAAAAACCTGATTTTTTAGGCCTAGATCAATTTTACTTGAGTTTGACCTACTTTTTGATATTTTTTAAGGTCACAAAGTCAAATTAGGTTCACTTAATACTAAGAGGGGCGGAAAATAACACAGGTGGTGTCCTGTGATTTTTGAGGGCTTCAAAAAAAACTTTAAGGCATCAAGAAACCTGTTTTTTTCGGCCTCTATCAATTGTACTTGTTTTGACCTACTTTTATCAATTTTTCAAGGTCATACAAGGTCAAAATAAGTTCAATAACATTGACAAGGACAGTGGATGACTTATGAGGTACCCTGTGATTTTCAAGGATCTTAAAAAAATTTAAGGGCATAAAAAAACCAGATTTTTTTCACCCTAATCCATAAAACTTAAATTTGACCTACTGTTATTAATTTTCCAAGGTCAATCACGGTCAGAATAGGTTCATCAAATATTCGAAGGGACGGAGGATTACTCAGGAGGTACCCTGTAATTTCATTAGACCAAAAAAGAATTTTAGGGCATTAAATTACCTAATTGTTTGGGCCTAATTTAATTTTACTTGGGTTTGACCTACATACAAGATCAAACAAAGTTTAATAATAATTGAGATGGACAGTTGACGATTAAGGAGGTTGCCTGCGATTTTTGAGGACTATAAAAAAATTTTAGATCATAAAGAAACCGGATTTTTTGGGCCTAAATAAATTCTACTTGCGTTTGACCTATTTTCATTAATTTTTCAAAGTCATCTAAGGTAAAAATAGGCTCAATAAAAATTAACAGAGAGAGAAAATGACTCAGGAAATGACCTGTAATTTTAAAAGACTATACAAAAATTTAAGGGCATAAAGAAACCTGATTTTTTGAGCGTAATTCCATTATCCTTCGGTTTGACATACTTTTCTTAATATTTCAAGATCTTGCAAGGTCAAAATAGGATGAATAAATATTAAGAGGGACGGAGGATGATCCAGGAGGTACCCTGTAATTTTATAACAACATAAAAAATTTAAGGGCATGAAGAAACCCGATTTTTTGAGTCTCAATCGATAATACTTGGGTTTTACATACTTGTATTGATTTTTCCAGGTCACACAAGGTCAGAATAGGTTCATCAAAAATTCAGAGAGACAGAGAATGACTCAGGAGGTACTTTGTAATTTTAAAAGACCAAAAAAAAATTTAAAGGCATAAAAAACCTGATTTTTTTGGCCCTTAATCAATTTTACTAGCAATTTACCTAGTTTCATTGATTTTTTGAGGTCATACGATGTCAGAACAGGTTTATCGAAAATTCAGAGGGACGGAGAATGACTTAGGAGGTACCTTGTAATTTTTAAGGACCATAAAAAAATTTTAGGGCGTAAAGTAACCTTATTTTTTGGGCATAAATCAATTGTATTTGGGTCTGACCTACTTTTATTAATTTTTCAAGGTCATACAAGTTCAAAATAGATTCAATATAAAATAAGAGGGATAGAGGATGACTCAGAGATACTGTGTATATTTCAAGGACTATAAAAAAATTAAAGGGCATAAAGAAACCTGATTTTTTTGCCTTTATCCATAAAACTAAGGATTGATCTATTTATATTAATTTTTCAAGGTCATACAAGGTCAGAATAGGTTCATTAACCATCAAGAGGGATGGAGAATAACTTAGCAGGTACCTTGAAATTCAAAAAGACCAAAAAAAAATTTAAGGGCATAAAAAACCTGATTTTTTTGGCCTTAATCAATTTTACTAGCAATTTACCTAGTTTTATAGTTTTTTCAAGGTCATACAAGGTCAGAAAAGGTTTATCGAAAATTCATAGGGACGGAGAATTACTCAGGAAGTACCTTGTAATTTTTAAGGACCATAAGAAAATTTTAGGCCGTAAAGTAACCTCATTTGTTGGGCTTAAATCAATTGTACTTGGGTTTGACTTACTTTTATTAATTTTTCAAGGTCATACAAGTTCAAAATAGATTCAATAAAAAATAAGAAGGACAGAGGTTGACTCAGAGATAATGTGTATATTTCAAGAAATATAAAAAAATTAAAAGGCATAAAGAAACCTGATTTTTTTGGCCTTAAACCATAACACTGATGATTGATCTACTTTTATTTTTTTTTCAAGGTCATACAAGGTCAAAATAGGTTCAATAAACATTAACAAGGACAGTGGATGACTTATGAGGTACCCTATAATTGGGTATTTCCATGATTTTGGTATTCATTAAGTTTAGATATTTTTACATTCTGTATATTTTTTTAAAATTTTTGAAAAAAAAATTTCTCGATTTTGTTCTTAAAAATTTAAATAATCAAATAAATAAAAAAAGCTGATATTTCAATTAATAGTAAGCTTAATCTCGTGTATGTGACGTCACGATGCTTATTTCATTTGAAATTTTAAGCCCCAATTTCTCTTGTACGCACGTGGCAGGTGTAAACAGTTGTTGTGCTGAATTGTACTTGATTAAAAAAAGATCTTGTAGTGTTGTTTATAATAAAATAATAGTATTTAATCATTTTAAATGTAGTCAAAAAACAATTTTTGTTGGTGTATAGGTTTAACGTGTAGAAATACTGGTAAATCGACACCAGAAAAAATTTTTAATAATGTTCCATCGAATTATGTTAAACGGAAAAATTGGTTAGATGCATACAGGAATGAAACTCATTATCCATTATCAACTCGGCTTTATTGTTATGAATGTCAACAAGTGTGACTGCCACTCCCAGGGTAAAGGCATTCAGTTGTCTGACCGTACAAACAAGCAGTCGAAGAAATTTGTGGCGTCCCAGGACGTAACATGAAACAAGAAAATAAGCGAAATGGTAAAGGTAATTCAGAAAAAGAAGATTAATTGAAAATAAGAAAAGTATCGAGATAAGAAAATAAGTGAAAAAGAAAAGTGAATCCAGAAAAGAAGAATAATTGAGAGAAAAGTGACATAATAGAGAAAATTATTGAAAAAGAAAAGTGATTGAAATAAGAAGAATTGAAATAAAGTGCAATTGAAAAAATAAGTTTACTGAATATAGAAGAGTGATTAAAATAAAAAGAGTGAATGAACAAGTGCCCCAAAAAGATAAGGACTACAGTGAAATAAGAAAATAAATGGAAAAAGAGAGTGAGAGTTCAAACAAGTGCCGCAAAAGATAAGGATTACAGAGAAATAAGGATACGAAGTGGGAAAGGTGAGAAGGTTCAAATAAGTGTCGCCAGAATCGAGAAATAAAGAAGAAGAAGCATCAAATACAGAGAAGAGAGACGCAAGCCACGCAGAGGACGAGTCAAGGCCAGCAATAAAAGAATGCGTCATCAACAGGGCTCCGAGAAATAGGAAAAACGGCCAATCATTTAGAAAAGGGCACGGGAGTACAGTAAATGCAGATCGCAATTCAACTGAGCATCTTGGCACTCAGGTAAGTCGCAAAAATTGATCTTATAAAAGAATCTGTTGTCGAGGATCGGCAGGCGCGGTTCGACGGGTGGCGCGATAACATATCACGCGACTCTGCCGATAGTTCCGAAAGTTCTAACATTACTACTGATGATCTTTCATTTGACGCACTAATACACGAACAGACGTTAGAGGACATTTTAGGGATCGGTGTCCAGGACAGCGAACCAGAAGAAGAATTATCAAGAGAAACAGCGGTGACGATGGAAACAGAAGAAGGGCGGCTGAAGCGCATCATATCGCTTATGAGACACATTCCGGTATTTTCAGGAGAGGGCGATGTTGAACCATTTATCGATGCTATTGAATACTGTACTCCGAAGTTAAAAGCCGGAGATGAAGGAACCTTCATTTTTGAATTAGCGTCCAGACTTTCAGGCGTTGCGGTTGGCAGTATGAAAACAGTCATGAAAACAGCGGAAACAATTGATGAAGTTATAGAAAAATTGCGACCAAATTTTGGGCGTACCGACGACTTTTTCGCAATATTAAATCGGCTAACAAAAGTATTGCAGGAAAAGAGGGAGAGCGTAGCAAAATTCGGGGCGCGAATAGAAAGTATGAGAAGTCAAGCAACTAACAAAATTGACAGGAGCGCACTGCCAGCGGATCAAAAACAATATCGGAAGAATGATCTAAATGCAGCAGCCCTAGAAACATTCGTTGTAGGACTTGCACCGCAGCTATCATTCGCAGTTTCTACCCAGAAACCCAGGAACCTTGCGGAGGCATTGAAAATAGCACTGGAAGCCGAGACCCAGAGTGAAAAAACAGACGCAATGAACAGATTAAGAGAGGACAAGGTTCGCCGCAGAGAGAGAGAGATCACGCTAGAATCAGGTGTGCAACATACGGGGGAGAATTACAGGCCGAAGAATCAATAAAGAAGTTCAGTGAGGGGGCAGCCAGGGAAGAACCATCGATATTCACCGTTGTGAACGATGCAGCCAAAATTGATCAAGAAGGGCCAAAATGCTATGGATGCGGAGAGGTAGGACATTACATACGTAATTGCCCAGTTGAAGATGAAAGACAACAGGCACGGCAAGGATCTTTCAATCCTCGAGGAAGTGGACAGCTGTATAGGAACAACAACCGCGATAACGCAGGTAATCTCGACAACAGAAGATCATACGGTAATAATTATTATGTCAACAATAATCAAGCCGGTCGAGGGTATCAAGACAACTACAGGGGACAAGGAAGAGGTTACAACTATCAAGACAGAAGAAATCAGTGGCAGCAACGACCAGCAGATGACCGTAGAGATGGATCAACGGGCCCGCAGTATCAACAACAGCCATGGCAACAGGATCAACAATCATTCCAAAATCAATGGCAACAACAATCGTGGCAGCAAAACCAGCGATCACCGCAGAATCAGTGGCAGCAGCAAGCGCAGCAAGGACGGTATCAGCAGAACCGAGGTCAACAAGAATCAAGGTACAACTCAAGACATTTAAACTAGAGAAGGCCGGGGCAGCAATACTCCCTGCTGAAACGGCCGACGCAAAAATCTCGGAAAACAACAAACGCGGGAAAATATATACAAAAATAAAATTCCACGCAGAAGAAGTCAACGGCGGAAGAGCAACATTTTTAATAGACACTGGAGCCGAAATAAACCTTATAAAAGACAGCATGCTGGGAGCGAATGTCAAAGTAGATCAATCAAAAAGAACGAGACTTCAGGGGATCACATCAGAAGCAGTAATAAGTTTAGGTCAAGTACAATTGGTAATCGAAGGCCGAACAACCACCTACGATGTCGTAGGAGAGGAATTTAATTTAACAGAAGACGGAATCCTGGGATTACCTTTCCTGGGAGAGCAGGGAGTGAAGATAGACTTCAAAAACAAAACCTTAACGCTTGGCGATAAAAACTTTAAATTCCAGGAAGAGATCATCAGAATACTCAAAAGATGTGTGCAGCTGGTACATGTCAAAGTGATCAATGTCGAAAAAGAGGGGTATATTCAGCGATGTGATATAGCACCCGGCGTTTATTTAGGAGACGCAGTCGTGGCTGTCAACAACGGGAAAGCATGCCTGTATGCTTACAACACAACAGATGAAGAACACATATTCACAGTGCCATACCTGGAAATTGAAGAATTTGAAGAAAAATTGAAAGAAGTTAAAATATATAGTGTTTGTGAAGTAAGTGCGGAAAGGGAGACAAGACAAGAGCGAGCAGACAAAATACTTGAGATTATTTCAACAGAACATCTGGAGGAAGAGGAATTAAAAATGGTACGTCAAAATATTCTGTACGAGCCCGACATATATATACTGCCCGGGGAAAAACTGCAAGCAGCGAAAGTACCACCACACAGAATTCGGACAACTGACGATATTCCAATAAATGTTAAACAATATCGAATGCCACATAATTTAAAAGATGAATTAAAAACGCAAATACAAGGCATGCTGGACGCTGACATAATCGAACCTTCCGATTCACCATACAGTTCGCCGGTATGGATCGTGCCCAAGAAACCGAAACCCGACGGATCGAAAAATTGGAGGCTGGTGATAGATTTTCGAAAACTAAATGATAAAACAATCCCGAATTCATATCCGCTACCTGATATTCGAGATATACTTGATCAACTCGGCGGCGCTACGTTCCTCTCCGTTTTCGACCTTGATTCAGGATTTCATCAGATTCCACTGGCAGAGGAAGATAAACATAAAACAGCATTCTCGGTTCCAATGCGCCATTATCATTATAAAAGAATGGCAATGGGACTCAAGGGAGCTCCACCAACATTTCAGGGCACAAATGTAATGTGGAATGTAATGGAATGTGTGTTATCAGGTCTACAGGGAGAAATATTATTCGTGTACATGGACGACGGAGTAATATATGGGAGATCACTGGAAGAGCATCGCCAAAAATACGAAAAATTTGCTGACAGATTGAAGAAAGTAGGAATGAAATTAAAACCGTCAATCATTATAAAAGACTGGCAATGGGACTCAAGGGTGCTCCACCAACATTTCAGGGCACAATGGAGTGTGTGTTATCAGGTTTACAGTGAGAAATATTATTCGTTTACATGGACGACGGAGTAATATATGGAAGATCGCTGGGAGAGCATCGCCAAAAATACGAAAAATTTGCTGACAGATTGAAGAAAGTAGGAATGAAATTAAAACCGTCCAAGTGTGAATTTCTACGTCGAGAAGTCACATACTTAGGTCACATCATCAGTGCGGATGGAGTCAGACCGAACCCGACAAAAGTGGAAGCTGCAGAAAGTGCGAGAATTCCTGGGATGAGCCGGCTATTACAGAAGATTCATCAGGAATTTTGCAGGAAAGGCCAAACCATTAACAGATCTGCTTAAAAAGGACACTTCTTTTATATGGGGGGAGGCTCAGGAGAAGGCATTTAAAATATTGAAGAAGGAGTTATGCGAAGGAGTCACGTTACAATATCCGGATTTCGAAAAACCGTTCATAGTCACAACAGATGCGTCAGAATATGCAGTGGGAGCAATATTAAGTCAAGGTAAGCTTGGAGAAGACAGAGCGATAAGTTACGCTTCAAGGGCAATGTCAGCAGCTGTGCGAAATTATAATGTGACGAAGAAAGAACTGCTCGGGATAATGTACGCTATAGAAACATTTAGGCCATATATCTATGGCAGGAATTTCACTTTAGTCACTGATCTTCAACCTTTAGCGTGGCTGAAGTCAACGGAGAGTCCTGGCGAACATCTACGGCGGTGGGTAGATCGATTGGAAGAATACAATTACACTATTGTACATCGTTCAGGTAAGAGCAATTCAAATGCAGACGCGCTCTCCAGGAACCCAGTACGAGACGAAAACGGTCAACTTCTGCCGTTAGCAGAAATAGACATGGCGAAAAGAGGAAGGAAGGCAACCACAGATCCATCTTCAACGGAGCAGGGCGGTCCAAGGAAGATAGCCCGAAGCAAAAAACGGACGCTGAACAGAAAAGAGCAGTCCAGCGATGACTCGACATCTGATGCTGAATTCGGAAAAGAATCCCACGTAGATAGAAGATCTGGAAAGTGACAAAGATACAGACTCAGCATCGGAAACAGAAGGAGGCAGGTCCCAGCCACCGGAACGAGAAGAAGCAGTGATCAACGAAGGTGATGACGAACCAAACAGAGTAATAGGATCTGGACCGCAGGACAAGGAGTTAGAGACGAGTTCAGATGACAGTGATACCATATATCCAACGCATCCCGAGTTAAATGTGCCAGAAGGATACCGCACCGACCCAGAAGAAGAATCGAATGTAAAATACAGCAGGCAACATGTGACAGACATCAACGACAACTTCGTATTTTTCCTACCTGCCAGTGGAGATATAAATTCAGAGTTAGTTGACGTACTTCTAGAAATGAAGTGGATAAATATGGGTAATATTCAAGAGGAGAATTTAGACAAAGGTGACGTGTTAATGATAAATAAAAGAAAAAGATGGGGATTTGGGATCATATATGCAGCCAACGCTATCGGTCGAACAGATGAAGAAGTGTTGGACACAGTCGTGTTATTGTTGAAACAGCTGGCCGAAGAAAAACAATGCAAAGCACTACGAATGCCTACAGGGATCGAGTTACTCAGTAAAACGATGCAAGCATACTACGTATCAAGATTAAGAGAGACATTTTCGAATACAGAAATGAAGATAATTTTATGCAGTGGAAAAATAGAAGTGCCGAAAGCTACCAATAGAAGATCACTGATAAGAGATCACCATACATCAGCTGTAGGAGGACACAAGGGCATGACAAAGACGTATCGCCGCGTAAGAAGCCAATTCTATTGGAGAACTATGCAGCAGGATGTAAGGAATTACATCAAGACCTGTTTTATTTGTCAACAACGAAAACTAGTACGTGTAAAACCAAAAAAACCCATGGTTATCACCGATACTCCAGAGGTAGCCTTCGAGAAAATATCTATGGATATCTACGGGCCACGTGAATTAACAAGACAGGGTTATAGATACATATTGACAGTACAGGATCTATTAACAAAGTTCGCCATCGCCATTCCGCTGAATCGTCAAGAAGCGGGAGATATCGCGAAGGCATTAGCAGAGAAAGTTATCTGTTTATTTGGAGCACCGCAAGCAATTTTGACAGATGAAGGAACGAACTTCATGAGTGAAACTATGCAAAGCCTGTGTAAGTTATTTAAAATTAGACATCTTAATACAACCGCATACCACCCGCAGATCAACGGTTCCATTGAGAGGAGTCATCATTCGTTAACAGAGTACCTGAGAACCTTCATCGACGAAAATAGGGAGTGGGACGACTGGCTGGACTTCGCAATGTTCTCATATAACACGTCAGTTCATGAAGCAACCAATTACACACCTCATGAACTAGTATTCGGGCGAACTGCAAGTATACCGTCTGAATTTTCGTTAGGAGCGGATACGGCTGGTAAAACCTACCACGACTATTTGACTAATCTAGTAGAAATGCTAGAAACGACTCAAAGACTTGCGAGGACAAATTTAGAAAATGCAAAAAGAAAATCAAAAAAATACTACGACCGCAACGCGAAAGAAAGAGCCTTCGAAGTAGGTATGAAGGTGTGGCTATTAAAAGAGCCGCGGACAGATAAGATGAAATATCATTATGAGGGTCCATATGAAATAACCAGAGTTTGTGATAATGATAACGTCGAAATAAATGTAAGAGGGAAGCTTCGGGTGGTACATCAGGACAAGATCAAACTGACGCAGACAGCTCCAGACTCCGAACCTGAAGACTTGCTATTAAATATAAACTCTGCATGAAGATAAATAAAATTATACTCCTGTCATTAAACAAAACGCAAAATTATATGTTGACAGGTACTAAATATTTTTTTTTGGAAAATACACGAATACAACAGGAAATCATGGACGTCAAGGCAGTAAACAGGAGGATGATCACGGCAGTCATGGACGAAGACATCAGTCAAATAACCAACATCGTGCAGGACTATGGCCTGGGATACGTACCAGAATGGAACTACGGCTACACACTTTTAGGGAAAGTCCTGGCCAAATGGAGGAAGGCATCAGCGAGGGAGTTAATCAGATTAGGAGCCAAAATAGATGAAGCAGATCAAAAAAATTCAACAGTGCCCTTGTGTAGAGCTCTAGGCAGAGAACTAATGGAGGAAGCCTGGCTTCTTATATTCCGGGGAGCCCGACTGGACGCCGACAATGATGACAGCGGTAACCGGCCAATACATGAGTTAATATTAAACAGAGATTTTGGGTCAAGAAGAGTAAGAGTCACGAGCAGAAGAATGCTATATCACATGATTCGACAAGGAGTGGATCTATCAGCGAAAAATAGAGAAGGTCAAGCAGCAATCCACTTAGCCGCAAAGCAAGGTATATGGGACCTATTCAACGTCCTGTTGGAAGAAGGATCCCTGTGCAACACTCAACATAAATTTGTGTGCATGTTAGTTTATGTTTTGTGGCAAAAATGCATGTATTTCCGGTTTATACTGTTATTCTTATAAAGTATATTCTTAAATTTTGTATAATTTTTTTGTCGTTTTCGTGTAATAATTAAATTTTCAATTTATATCTAACAAAAACTTTTTTTCAAATGACTTTCTTTTGGCCATTATTAATCAAATATTAATTGGTTGGAAATTTTAATGTATAAATTGATTTTAAATATAGTATGAAAAAACTCCGTGCACAATTCTTACGGTTTGTCAAAAATGAACTGGTTTTAAATTTTAATTTTTATTATCAATTTTTTCCTTTATTTTTTATTCTAATCTATTAATTTTTGTTTCAGAATGTAGAAGAGAGTTAGTTATTTTTCGTAAAAAATTAAAATCCCTGGAACTAGTTTTAAATGACTATGATATGGATTACTCAAGTGAAGAACAACTGACTACTAGCCTCACTGCTGACAATAAAATCGATAGAGATATTTCAGTAATCACGTCTACTCCTAATGAACCATTGCAATTACCAAAATTAAATATTGGACTCCCAAAAGTGCAATATCCTCAGGAAATAGTAAAGGAATTATTTAATCAGCATCTGAACAAACAAAATTCTGATAAGTCAACTACTATCGATATTAATGATTCAGATTTCAATGCTAATAATACCGAAAGTAGTGTACCTAGTGGAGCTTCAAGTATAGCCAGAATGATTGGAGATAGCTGGTTAAAAGATTCTCACGAGCTCGATGATGAACACAAAAGATTAAGTAATAGCTATCAACATGAAATATCTGTCGATTTGAACAACAGCTTTGATGATAATAAAATTCAACGAATACCAGATACTTGCCATCAGCTTTCAAATTTTAATATCGATTGCTCTCTCAGCAATCAAGTTGACACTAAATCCGAAGTCATTGGTACTATTAAAACCGGCATTGTAATTGAAAATTCTAAAGAAGACACTAATTATAGGCAGAACACAAGTCTCATTAATATTAATACCAATGCGACTTATGTTGAGGCTACTAAAGCTACAAAATCTTCATCTGAATTTGATCTTGAAGATGAATCAATATCTTTCGAAATTGTGCCTTCTGTTGACGTCAGAAATTTGAAAATTTTATGTTCAAAAAAACATAAACAACCTAAAACTACAAAAAAATATTTTTGCCCCTATTGCCAAACTATACAAACAAAGTTTGCTCGCCATCTTGAGTTGAAACATCGCGATCACCAATATGTTCAAGAAATTGTGTCTCTTAAGAAAAATACGAAGGAACGAAGGAAGAGTATAGCGAGAATTCGAAACCAAGGCACATTCATGCACAATATGCACAGTGACTTGAATACAGGTCATCTGATGGTCGCTAGACGTCGTCAGAGAGGAAAACGATTTAAACATAAGACGGCAGATGATTATGTTTGTTGTGCTAATTGTCAAGGTTTCTATTCTAAAGCAACTATCCGACTTCATTATGTTAAATGTGATGATAAGCATGAAAAAGGTGCACGAGATATTCTTAAAAAATGTCGGCGTAAGACAGGTTACATGCACCCACGTGCAAATGAAGTACTTCGTCGTGATGTGTTTTCAGTATTAAGAGAAGGTGAACTTAAAAATATCATTGCATTTGACGAACTTTTAGTTCTCTATGGTAATGAAATGTGTGAAAAATGTATTGAAGTACGTGATCATATTATGATAAGAGCTGAGTTAAGATCCTTGGCTAAACATTTGATAGTTGCTAGAAAGATTGAGCCAAAAATTACTGATTATGCATCATTGTTGAATCCTAAGCACCTGAAAACTGCAGTAGAAGCTGTTAAGGAGGTAGCTAAATGGAATAGAAAAACAATGAGATTTGATGTCTCTTCAAATGCTACAAGATTAACTTCTTCAGTCAAGAAATGTGCGAATAAATACCGATCAGAGTGTATACGGAAAGAAAATCAAAAAGAAAAAAAAAAAGCAGATGATTTTATCAAATTATGGACTGATGAAATTTCAATTTTACTAAAAAAAACAGCTGTTAGAGATCAACAAACACTATGCAAAAATAAAAATAACGATCTATTGTCAGCAATGAGTAACGATAAGGAAGGAAACCTAAGTATGGATCGTAGTAACAGTGACTTGGCCGGCGAAGAACAAGATAGTAATGGCAAAGATGTGAATGCTATTACACGAACGGTTCCTGCTGAAAAGTCTCAGGAAAAATTTTCACAGAAGCACCATTAAAGTGACATTGCTTAGATTATTAAGGGGTATTCTAGTCTAGAAGCATGAATTTCAGGTAATTTTTCGAAGTGCCGCACAAAAAAGCAATCAATATTTTTCGGATCCATTTTTTTATAAGTTATTCATTGACATTAAAAGAATATAGAAAAAAATAAAAAAAGTTGTAAATCCAAAAAATTAGCAGCTGATGAAGTGGGGGGGTCTCAAAAAATTGGCACGTGACCATGCCCACGATTCCAACACTCCTAGCAATCGTAAATAAATAAATAAAAATATTATTAATCTAGAGTAATGTCACTATGGCATGAACTAAGGAAAAGTTGAAAAAAAATCTTTTTTGCAAAATGGTGACTGTCTGAAAAAAAAAAAAATATTTTTTGTTCTATTTTTTTTTATTTACTCGAATTTTTAAAAATAGTAAAAATTAAAATTTGAGAATGACCGTAGTTCATGTCATGGCGACATTACTCTAAATTAATAATCTTTTTTATTTTTTCATTTCCGATTCCTAGGAAGGTTGGAATCGTGGGTATGGTCACGTGCCAATTTTTTGAGATCCTCCCACTTCATCAGCTGCTAATTTTTTGAATTTTTAACTCTTTTTATTTTTTTTTTTGTATTCTTTTAATGTTAATAAATAACTTATAAAAAAATGGATCGTAAAAATATTGCTTTTTTTACAGCACTTAAAAAAATTAGCTGAAATTCATGCTTCTAGACTAGAATACTGCCTTAAAGTAAATTTTTAAAGCATTAAGCTAGAAAAGTTCAGAAAATCTCTAAGTTAACGACTTTGAACATTTATTGATAAAAAAAGACTAAAAGATAAAATCCCACACTACAATACCCGGACCATGACAAAGTGGTTACTCAATGAGAAAATTTTATGTATATTAGTAAAAAATTCAATGAATATCAATTCTAATAATCGATAACATGTCCTCGCATAACTGAGCTATATTTATGAGTTCGAAATTTTTGTTTCATTTCTAGATTTTTAATTTATTCATCTTACATTCTAAATGTCGATAATCGAACTATGGTAAGCCAATGGAGTGATAAAAATAAGAATTCAAAATTAGAATTTTGTTAAAAACTGAATTTACTCAAGTTAAGTTCCTGATCATTTAATATCACCAGTATCTCATAGTAGACGAGAATTTTAGAGAGCTCATTCTCGTTTTCCAATAATGTATGAAAAATATTCGTCCTGGTATCAGTTACAAAATATGATGATTACAAAATATCATTCACTTATACATTAACACGCTAAAAATATTCTTAATAATTTTTCTATTATATTGGTTTACAAATTTTGAAAAGAATTTATGAAATTTATGAAAAAATGTACTGTACATATGGCATAAAATATTTAAAGCTCGACTCCTTACAGTCTATAATATTTAATTCATCAGGAGTATTCAGTTGAGAGAAACAATCTTTAGTCTGGACGAGTGATATTGAAAAAATATTTTTAATCACTATAGATCTTTTTGGATCTGTAAAGAAGCATTAACGAATATGTTGATCAAAATTCATCAATCGATTGATTTCGAATTTTTTAACGTTTTATAGACATCGATTCTATTTTTCTACATAAGTCAGAAGATAATAGTTGTTCAAAAAAGAACTATAATTAATAGGAATTAAAACCATAAGGTAGAAGTACCGTTTGTAGCCACTGTTACTTTTTTTTGGCTATTTGACATCAAAATCATTTTATGAATAATTTACAAACGTAATAACACCATAAATTTAGTTAAAATTATTTTAGCATTAAAATATTCTCAACAGCAAACAAAATTCAAAGTGGCCAAAACCGATACTTTTGCCAAATTCGTTATTTATTGTGACATAATATTTTCCATTTCTTTTTAATTATATAATTGTTAAAATACTTATAACGATTGATGAGACTCTTTTATATAATGTTTTCATCTATGTGACAATGTTTGCGTTCTATTTTTTTTTTTAAATATTCATAATAATTAATAAAAGTTATTTATATGAAAGTTCCACAACAATGTGATGACGTTTTGTTTTGTTTTCTTCTAATTTTTTTTCTACACGAAAAAAAGAAAACTCGAAAAATTACAGTTCAGATTGTAATTATTACAGATTTTATAAGAATTACATTGTAGAATGTAAGATTTACATTAAAAGCTCTGAATATCAAATTAAAAAATTGAATTTAGAAAAATGTTATTTTAAACTGTAATTTTTCTAGTTTTGATTATGACGGGACCGATTTTACATTTTATATTATAATTTTTCGAGTTTTCTTTTTTCCATGTTCTATTTAAAATTGCATTAACAATAAAGTTATTATTAATGATTCTCTAAGAAAGTATTTGAAGAAAAATATTTAGTAATTAAAAAGTTAAATTCTAAAATAAATTTTTAAGAATTAGCGTAAAAAGTTGAGAATAATCCAAGTATAAATCAACATTATCATTTACCAAGAAAAAATTTATGATTTCTGTAGCATTTAATTTGTCTTAATAAAAACTATTAATAAAAAATAAAGTTGATTACATCTATGAATTAATATAAATTAAACATTTAGTAATAGATAAAATTTGATTTATAGGTACAATTTTTAAAGTTGAATATCATATGAATTCCAGTAAATATATTCAGGTACCAATAACAACGAAGGCATTAAATGATCGGCAAGAATTGTTTAATTTAGGATCTCGATCGGATTTTTAAAACGATGCTGACCAATTTTAAATTTCGGCTTTCCTGTTTGTATTAAAAAAATAGTATATTACACACTGAGGGGGTGAAATAGGACATTTCTAACCGTGTGTAAATGTTCACCCAAGCTGAAAGCGAGGGTGGCAAACACGCGAATTTGGATATACTACTTTCCTCGCTGGCATATATATACTATTATTTATTATATCTGTAACTGAAATTTTTAATTTCTTCCTCTATTTTGCCAGGTTCGTGCAGATGTCAAACACTTTTATTTTCTTGACTATAAGAGAAAAGTTGCACTTTCTTTCTGCAGAATAAGACAGGACTTTTAATTTTCGATAAAAATATGAAAAATCATTTAAACAAAAATTACAAGAAATCGAATTTTTTACAATTTTTAATCAGAACATTAATATATAAAACTAATTAGAATCTTTATAATGTTAAAAATAAAAATTAAAGATAGAATTTTTCTCACTTTCGAAAATTTCTGTTTTTAAATTGAAATATTAGCTTTGCTCTTGGTCCTTGTAAAAAAGCATGATTGAAACCATAGTTGTAAAAACTTCGATTTTCAATTATTTCTGTTTCGAAATTTTATTTTTATGACCTACGGAAACATCTAAATTTGAGCTTGAAATAGAAAAGTTTTACAAATTTAACAAGTCTTTTTCTCCAATTATAATAAATTATATTGCTTACTCGGAAAAACGGTTTAAAAACAAAAATGAGTGGCTCAAAACATGCGTTAATACTCTTATATATTTTTTTCCTTGAATATTATAAAAAAAGCGAAGTGTGCGGGAAAGGATTATTTGAAAATCTTTATCCCATCGGCTGCTAATGCACTTAAATATTGATTAATCGATAAATACTCAGATTTGACATAAATGTATAAATTGCAATTCTTATTATTGAGTGATTTTACATTTTGGTGATTCTCAGTAATGTGTATGTGTATATACTATTTATCTTTGCTTCGAAAATATTTTAATCAAGTCACGAAAATGTATACACTCACTACCTTTTGTTAGTGGCGCCTCTAAGCGATATTATTGACTAACTAAATTAAAAAACTATGAGACTTTTCAGACATTATCGACTGTCTATCTTTCGACTACACTTTTTTTTTTTATAAATGGTGTAATTTTTCGTAGAGTACACAGCTACAATTCGTAAAATTTATTTAAACAAAAATCATTTCTTAGCCAGACTACTTGTAATATTTTATTGTTAGATGTCTTTAATATTTTATTCGTATGTTAATGAATTCAATTGGTATAATTATTAAAATTGTCTAAGCAATACAATAAAATGTACTCGTTGATCAGAAATAATAACCTGAAATATTCGGTTATTCGAAAAAGTAAATCACGTAAAAAATTAAACCGCAATATTAGTAAACACAATGGCTATAATGTTGACATTCTTTTACGATCAGGTAATTAATTAATTTTTTGTCAATTCTTATCGAAATTTTTATAAAATATGCTGTAACATAATTTCTTATAAATAATTTGAATTAAAATAAATGATTGATTATACTCTTTACAATTTTTTAGATAACTTGTCAATTTTAAAACATATTGCGACTAATTTGACAAAAAACGTTCCTAGAGTTCTTCTAAAAAAAATCAATCAATTCACTGCTGGTCAGGAATTGATGTCACCAGAGGTATTAAAGCAAGTTGAAGCAAAGTCTGTTATTTATGATAATATTAAAACTGCTGAGGCTAACATCTCTGATGGAAAATTGATGTCAATATCTGTATTAAAGCACACTGAATCTCCGTCTATCGTTCAGGACACTGTTGATACTGAAAACTTTAAAAGTTCTCCTGACCTCACTTTAGCTAATCATAAGAACTGGATAGCAGATATATTCTTAGATCATAATTACAGCTGCAGTTCTTCAGATGTGGACGAAAAAAATATTTTAAACGGTGAAATAGCTTCAGAAGATAGAAATTTAGGTCAAGACAGATGTGATGGTACTTTCGAGGAGTATTCTTCAGGTAATATGGACCAGGATATTGAGCTTTCAAAAGCACAAGATTCACAGTTTACTACTGCTCATACAGACGAAATTTCTCCAGACTCACAATCGCAAAACTCATCCTGTACTACTTCCATACATAAGGCTATAAGCTCAAGAAATGTGCAACCGAAAATCGTATCTGACTTGTCGGGCATATTTATTTCAAAAAATGGGTCCACGAAAATTCCACACTATACGTCAGCTGATTTCGACAATATGCCTATATTTATCATTAATGCGCCTATTGATCAACTTAAAACCAGTGATCAAGTAGCTGACATAAGCTTAACTGCTACTGAACATGCTACTTCACTAACAGCGTTAGGACATTCTAATTTCTTGGGTGAGGACTCTTATAAAGAGACTGAATTAAATTCAGTTGAGACTAGTTCAACTATGGAACCTAGTTTAAAACAATTGACCATGTGTTCAGTCCGTGATTCAATTAACATTGCTGATAATAATGAAAAAAAAAATTTAAATGTTACCACACAAAGTTTTGGCGCTTCAAGTGATCAAATTATAATTGAAGAAATAGATAATGATAATTTAAGTAATTCAAACTACGATGATCGAAGCGATTGCAACAGCTCCTATATAAGTGAGCTTGAAGATTTGGAAATAATTGATGATCTTGATTACGTGGATAATGATGAAATTATTCGCGATAGTATTGGTTCAACAGATTATGACGTGAATAATTTATCCTTAAGTGTTGAACTTCACGCTGGAAATAATCTTCCAGAACTACGTAATTGTAACTATGAAAAAGATCATTTAAATGATACTGGTTTATCGATTCCAACATTAACTGATCAGTCGCGTAAGTCACCAATTTATTCTTTAATGATCATTTTACTTAAAAGTCCTAATTTTAAAATTATTATTAATATGACCTGCAGCAATTCATGTCACTTTTATATATTAAAAACCAATTAACATAGAGAGAAAGTTTTAACTAAAACTTATCGAGAATTGAATTTTCGGCTTAAAGATTCTTAATTAGAAATAATTTTAATATATATTCTCAGTAACTCTCAATTGATATTTTGACTAAACAAGAAGAGATACAAGCAAAACATTTATATGAAAGTTGTAAGGAATTTGGTTGTCTTTAAGAAAATTTTTTAATGATTTTTTTGTATTTTTCATATTTTAGCTAGAATTTTGATTCTTAGAGTTTAGTATAAATAAGTGTTTGTAAACATAGGAATAGTACCAAAAATATTAATTTTTTAACATGATTTCGATTATCTTACATTTAATTGTCCATTATTTATCATTATTTTTGAGTAAACAAGATTCAAATGCTCAACAAAATAGATATTTATGTCATAAGGCCGTGAAGTGGCGGTTTTCTGACAGCGACGATATTTCGATATGAGCTTAAGGTTTGTGGCAGGAAGGTCCGAAACGTCCGAGGCGTAGGCGAGGACGGAAATTTACGCTCGTTTTCGAACATTCGTGTCACAAACATTAAAGCGAATATCGAAAAAAAGTCGTTGTCAAAATCGCCACTAAACGGCCGAATGACATACAATATTTTTTGTTATTATCGCTCCATAAGTTCAATTTTTAAGGCATAGGAGGCAAATAATGACATTTGAATTTGAGGAAGTTTCACAACGCCAAAAAAAATTAATTTTATATTAATTATCTTATTATTAAAATCTTGCTAACGTCCAGAAAATGTAAATAACTTTTTATTAGTACAGTAAAAGCTCTAAAAAGTTACCCAGGCTGTCTTTCTTACTCTTATTAGTGTTTTATGAGAAATTGAGACAGAACTACGGTAAATTTTAACAGTTTTCACTGTATTTATTTATGGCGTTGCTGTTATTTTATTAACATTCGGTCCGCTTGGTAATAAACTGCCAGCAGAGAAATAACTAGCGCCACTCAATAGTAACTAAGACTAAAAATTATCGGTCGGTACGCTAGAATGTGACTTTTTTTTACAATGTCTCTCAATTTCGTCTGGGTGTACATGAAAAGTTTGTAAAAAAAAGGAAGGGGTAAAACTTCACGGCCTAGGCCGTGAGAAAAAGACGGTATAATAGAGCCTCTAGAAAAGAGTTCCTTTACGGACGCCACTCAGCGCTCAGAAGTTGAACTTCTGGAGCGAGTATAACAAAAAGTTTTTTTTTAGTTGTAATTGATCATATCATAAAAAAATCAAATCTTAAGACTCGAAAAATTCCTTTGGCTTTTACAAAAGTAAATTTTCATGAGAAAAATTACCTTTCATTTAATTAATTACTAGTTAGGCTTATTAATAAAATGTTAGGCTTATTAATTAAAAGTTAGGCTTAAGCATTATGTCGATCAGTGTTAATTATAAATTATTACTAATAGGTTTAAGCAGTTCTACTCTAAATAATACAAAAGATGACAGCAGTTATGTACTCCCACCGGATACGAGTTTAGATCAATCTAGTGAGCTGTGTACAAACATTGAAGACGAAACGACAGAAAATTTAGAAGATACAGAAGACAATGAATCAGTTATTGAAGAACTAATCAAAAAGTCAAATCCACCAAAACTTGATGATTTAGAAGTTCCAAGAGCTGGTGAAGAAACAAAGAAATCCTTCTGCTGTTTTTGCTTTCATTCTTTTGTAGTCATTAGTCGGCATTATGAAGCAATACATAGTGATGAAAAGGAAGTCCAACATTTTCTGTCTTTAAAAAAAAGTAAGTTTATTCAATTAAGTTTTTGTTTGATATCACATAATTATAAATACTTTTAGGATCTACTGAAAGAATCGCAGCTATTGAAAAGTTACGTCTTAAGGGAACGCAGCTCTTCAATTTAAATAATGATTTTAACCACGGTAGATTACTCGTTACTCGACAACCACAAAAAACTTCGTTAGCTAACGTACATGACTTCAAGCCATGCCATAAATGTGGGCGATGGTTACAGTATATCAATCGCCATAAATGTCCATATGGTAAAGAATCTAATGGAGATAGATCAGATCTTATAAAGTCGAAAATTTTAATGGGTCAAATTTGTAATAATGCAACATCATTAACAAGAAAAATACTTGCAATTAATAATGACGACAGTATTTCAGAAGCAGTAAGACAAGATCCGTTGCTGATTACCTTTGTCAATGAACTATCTCAAAAATATACAAACCCACATCAACACTCGATGATTCGTTAACGAGTGAGAATGCTGGGAAGTATTTTAGTCAAGTTAAAAGAATACAATAAACATTGTTTTAAAAGTAGTCGAATTGACCAAAAGTGTAATCCAATTAACGTAAATACTTTTGCTGATATTCTTGACCCAAGGATGTATGACAATTTGATTATAGCTATCCAAAGTATTGTTGGTGCCGATGCTGAAAGTAATGAGTGCAAATCACCATCAACTGCGACAACGGCGGGTACTTGGGTAACTAAGATTGCTAAGTTGTATGAGAAGGAGCTAATCAAACAACGAGAATATAAAAAAGCGAAGGATGTAGAATACTTTCTGAAAATTCATGCAGTTGAATTTCCGATTAAAGTTAACAGTATCCGTCCTGTTGGACCATTGTACTCAGCCCTCCTAGGTCAGTTACTTTATGTCGCCGAGGAATTGGCCAGGCCTGTCTGCTTCAGAAAGTGGAGCAGCCGTCCCATACCAATCTCCAGCACATCGATCGACTCTCCATTGCGGAATCCTAGTATGTTCTCTCGAACTGTTTCTAGTTCCTCGCAATGGAGGATTAGGTGTCGAGGAGTTCCCTCCTCTAATCGACATCTGGGGCATACAGAACTCTCTGAGATGCCCATATGCTTTAGATGTCTGCCAGTGGTCCAATGTCCTGTGATGAACCCGACAGTTAGCCTTAGCGTTTTCTTGTCGAGCCCTATCAAGGACAGGCCTAGAGGGTCCTTTTATTAGTGCCCTCGTATGCAGCGTGACTTTTGCTTCAGCCCACACTTCTTGGAACTTATTGTCAGCCCATTGAGAAGTATGTTGCTTAATGAGGCTGAAAGGCGCTGCTATGTTGACCACTGGCTCAGATTCCCTCTTGCGGGCTCCTGCCTTCGCCAGTTCATTCGCTCTGTCATTTCCTGCGTTCCCGCTATGACCCGGTATCCATAGGAGTTTGACTCTGTTATATATCGCCAGTTCGTCCAGCGACTTCATGCAGCTACGCACCAGCCTCGAGGACACTTCTATTTGTTCTAGTGCTCTGAGCGCAGCGCAACTATCGCTACAGATGTAGATGTGCTTGTTTCTGTGATTGAGCTTTTTGATGTGCTCTACACAGGCCCAAATCGCATATACCTCTGTCTGAAAAATCGATGCAGTGTCCCTTAATTGCAGAGAAATTTCTGTTTTTGGTCCACTACTGTAGATACCAGCCCCTGCCCCTCTTTCCATTGTAGAGCCGTCCGAATACCAGACTAGCCCCGCTGGGGACAGGATGCTCTTACTTTCTTCTTACCATTCCTGCCTGCTTGGGATGAAGACTCTGTAGTGATGACTGAAGTGGTATCTACGAGGGCTCATGTCTCCTCTCTGGGCTAGGAACCCATCGAGTCCCCTATCCCTTAGCATGGATGCATGTCCCGTCTTAGTCCTTGTCCAGTATCCGTTAAAATGCAGTCTCATTGCTGTTTTCATAGCAAGCGCTTCTGCTGTGATGTGTGGGGGCTCCAGGTTCAGGAGTGCCCCCATTGCCAGAGTAGCTGTGGTTCTTAGAGCCCCAGTTATCCCTAGCAAAGAAAGTCTATAGACCTTAAATAGTGTCTTGATGTTGATGTTCTTCTTAAGGGAAGGCCACCACACCACAGAGGCAAAGGTGAGCTGTGGTACCAAAATTGTAGTGTATATCCACTTGATCAATTTCGGTCTCAGACCCCATGTTATGCCAAATATTCTTCTGCATGCCCAGAAAGTGGCAGTTGCTTTCTTGGTCTGCTTTTCTATGTGGCTTCTCCACGTGAGCTTACTGTCCAGAGTTATGCCTAGGTAGCGTACCTCCTTTGAGAATTTAAGCTCGGTGCCAAAGATTGAGGAAGCTGTGATTTTCAGTTTCCTCCTTTTAGTAAAGAGCACCATCTCTGTTTTAGTGGGATTGACCCTTAGAGATTTCCCGGTGCACCGTTTTTGTATGAGATCTAGGGCGCGTTGCGTTCTCCATCTCATCTCTGCTGGGCTTGTGCCTCTGACCATCAGTACGACGTCATCAGCGTAGCCCACAGTGTACACTCCTAGGTTTTTCAGCGCCACTAGGAGCTCGTCAATTACCAGGATCCACATGAGAGGAGATGTTACCCCCCCTTGTGGGCAACTCCTCCTCACTCGGGCCCGGACCTTAGTGTCACTAAGTCCGGTAGTCACTATTCTAGTCCGAAGCATAAAATGAGCCCATCCGGTGATAGATTTCTCCACCCCAAAGAGCTCCGTTGCCTCGCATATTGATTCGAAGGGGGTGTTGTCAAACGCCCCTTCTATGTCAATGAATACTCCCAGGACTGACTCTTTCGCCCGAAAGGCCCTTTCAATGTAGCTGACCACATCGTGCAGGGCCGTTTCGACTGATCTGCCAGTCTGGTATGCATGCTGAGAACAATGCACTGGCCTGTTGTTTAGCGCATTATCCCTAATGTGTCTGTCCACCAGTCTTTCCAGTGTTTTCTAAGGGAAAGATGTTAGTCTAATGGGTCTGAAGGATTTAGCCAGGTCATAGCTGGTTTTGCCAGGTTTGGGTATAAAGACAACTCTGACCTTGCTCCAAGCCTTCGGCACATAGTTTAGGGCCAAGCAGGCCCTAAAGAGTCTTGTTAGGTGTTTGATAGGGATCTCTCTCTCCTCCTGCAGGAGAGCCGGGAAAATCCCATCCACCCCTGGGCTTTTGAATCTTTCAAAGTTTCCAATTGCCCACCTTATCCTATCAGGTGTTACCACTCTGGCAGCTGTGCTCCAGTCGCCTTGTTTGGTGACTGTTCTCTTCATCACATCCTCTAAGGCTTCTTCCTGTTCCAGTTCTGTAAGTTCCGAGCCAGGAAAGTGAACCTCACAGAGGTGCGCAAGTGTTTCTTCGTCGTTCTCCGTTACCCTACCGTTACCGTCTTGGAGGGTGAGCACACCGAGTTTTGTTGTAGGTCCTGAGGTGAAGATTCTGCGTAGACGAGCCACCAATGGTAGATCTTCAATCTCTCCACAGAACTTCCTCCAGGCTTCTGATTTAGAGACCTTGATACATTTTTTGTATCTCTTTTGGGTAGCTTTATAGTCTGCCCAGTCCTGGTCCGCTTTTGTCTTAAGCGTCTTGTTCAGCAGCTTCCTAGACAGGGTGCGAAGCTTATTCAGCTTTGCATTCCACCATGTCACTCGTTTGTTGCTTTTTCTAACCTTCAGCAAGCAAGCAATCTCATAGGATTGAACAATGGCCTGTTGAAGGTGTTCGGCCACTTGTTCAGTTTTTGGCACGTTCCTTAGTCCTCTCACAGGTTTCCCTAATCTGTTTCCAAGCTCTTTCCTGTATTTGAGCCAGTCCGTAGATCTGGGATTCCTGTAAGTGTCCCTAGTTCCGTTGTCATTGTTGCCTTTCACTGAGAAGTTTATTTGCCTGTGGTCAGAGAGCGTATCCTCTTTGCTGACACCCCAGTCTGTGATCATTTGTGCTATCTTTCGAGAGCCCAGTGTTAAATCAATCACTTCTTGTCTTTGAGAAGTGACAAAAGTAGGTTTGGATCCTACGTTCAGGATTTCCAAGCCTGTGGTTGATAGATATTCCAGCAATGCTGAGCCTCTCTTGTTAATGTTTGAACTGCCCCACACCGTGTGATGCGCGTTTGCATCACATCCAATCAGGAGTGGCAGATCGTTAACTTTACAGTGCTCCACCAGTCTGATGACTTCTTCAGTGGGCACCTCATTGTCCTCATAGGGGAGGTAGGCAGATCCTATTATGACTTCCGCCCTTATCTCCCCCAGAGGAATTTTTATTGAGGCCGCCGCCAGGTCCCTAGTGTAGAACTGGTGCAGCTTGAGCGCTGTGTGTTTCTTGTTAATGAAAACACAGGCCCTAGGCTCCAGTTCCGAATCACCATGGACCAGGCTGCCGCCTTTCAACTCTATCCCTAATACTTGACCCTTGTTAATCCATGGTTCTTGCATCAGGGATACATCTGTCTGACTGACTGCCAGGTCTCTGCTGAGTAAAGCAGAGGCCGCCTTGCAGTGCTGCAAGTTAATTTGCGAAAACGTTGTCTGCCCTGCAGTTGTAGTTACTGTATTGCTGACAGTCTTCGCGAATCTGAGGAAAGAGGGAAGTGGAAGAGTGGAAGAGGGATTAGGGGGACGCAAGGAGGAAGGGGACATTCTAGTGTCCACCTTCTTCCTTCTTGCTTTCAGAGTTCGGCTTGGTTAGGGTGCCGGGCCCGTTTTCATGTTTGGCCAGGGCCTGTGCGAGGGTAGTTTGTTTCCCCAGCATAAGCTCCTTGGCCCCCCTTCCTGGCTACTGCCTCCGCCTTAGTGGGCCTTCCTCTGGATCCAGATCGTTCCTCCGGAACCGATCCATCGGAGGCCCTTCTAACTAGAAGACGCGCAGCCCTTAATAAGAACTTGTTGCTCTGTGCTTGTGAGGTAGTAGAGGTCCCTGGTTTTTCCGTCTGTGTCCCTTCTTTGGGGAGCTCTCGGTTCTCCTCCGACGGGGTGACGGCGCCTGGTGCCTCCACTTCTCTCGCTGAGGGTTTCTCTTTATGAGTCTCAGTTCCTGACGCGGGCCCAGCGGTCCCAGCAGCGCTCTCTTTTCTTCCTCCGGACTTGGGCTGGGCCTCGTAAAAACGGGCCCTGCCCATTCCGAAGTGGGGTGAGTAGTTGCACTCTGAAAGCGCTGCCAGAGACCTCTGGTCTACTCCTAGAACTAGATGGACGGTTTTGCCGACCACTCGTCTATCCCAGATTCTCCACATTTTGGTGTTAAGTCCCTGGTTTTGACGAGCGAGTCTGCGGAGAATAACTCCGTTCTCTTCGTTGGTTCCTAGGACCGCCGTCAGCTTCCTGAGCCTGGGAAGTGCCTCTTTCTCCAGTACATGGAGAATGAGGTCCTCTTTTGCCCTGAAAGCTGGGACCGTCTTTACGACCCATTCTGTCGACCTTTCATCGGCGCAAGTGACCCACAGTATTCTTTGTTCCTATCGGCATCCATCGAAGCGGGGGATTGCTTGCTCCATGGGGGTAGCGTCCAGCGCCTCGACGAGTGCCTGCGTTACCAGGTCGCTGGTCTCCTGGCTCAGCAACACGTCAGGGTAGCCAGAAGGCGTTATTGCTACCTTCATGCCCGCCCGTACCGCGTCGCTGAATCCACTCGGTTTGTGGGTTATTTTGCCCTTTTTGGCTTTGTTTTTGACTTCCAGTGGGGTGTTGCCCTCGGGTCTTGGCCTTTTACCGCCATTTCCTTTGGACTCCCCCGCCATCTTGTCTTTAGAGATAGTGGGAGGAGTAGCTCCGCAGTCCTGCTCCAAAGTCTGAGCCCTCTTTGCCAGTCTGGCTTTGAGGGCCCGTCTCTTTGCCGCACCACTGCGGTTCTTCTTCTTTCCATCTCGTTTAGAGGAGTCACTGTGCCCGGCATTCGCTGAGTCCTGCGCCTCCTCCTCAATGTCCATTTTCATGAAAAGACCGGGGTCCTCTGTAAGGTCCTTCGGTCCGTTGGGTGTAGTAGTTGGGTTCTCCATTTTTGGCCCCAAGAGTAGTCAGGAAATAAAAGTCACCGCCGGCAGAGCCTGAATACCGTCGGAAGGCGCATCAATACAATGGGGTTGCACCTGGTACCCCAAGGGCATCGTTCGCGGCGCTATAACCCTAGTACCATTCAGCCATCGGCACGATTGCTTCCACCTTAGCTTGGGGAGTTGGTCCTCGGCAGGGCCCCAGTCATCCTAAACCAGGTTTTACTCCGGTTGGATTTCTGATGCCTTTGCAGGCCGGGATCTGAGCAGAGGCCCCTGTCTCCCGTGGTGAGAAATCCAGGAATCTCCATGCAAATCCACGGCCCCCCTATCCGCCACTCGAGGACGCGCCCGGTCGGCACTCAACCGTGTTACCCGCACCTGTTTATAAAGTTAGGGTAACCCAGGTAAATTGCACTATACTTTTTTTAACTATTGACATTTTAAAAGATATAAACTCATCCCGATGTTACACTCATCGAGACCTTTCATTTGAGTACCCACATCATTTTTCATTTATTTATATATATATATATATATTTGTATATATGAAATATATATTAAAATGCTGGGGGTACTCAAATGAAAGCTCTTGATGAGTGTAACATCGGGATCAGCTCATATCTTCAAAAACGTCAATAGTTTGTGACATGGGAAAAATTTCCCATGTCAAACGATTACTTTAGTTATTTTGTTTTATTTTTCTTTATTATTTTATTTCTTTTATTATTTAAATTTATTTACTCAACTGAAGGAAGGCGGAGAATCGACGCGACTGTGTCGCCCCAATACGGTCCTATAATCAGAGTGCGAAGCTCGAGGTATGACAGGTAGGAGAGTAAAGCGCCAAATTTCAAAAGTATGTACGAATGAGTGTGAATTTTATAAAGAGTATGCTAGAGTGAGAGCGATCAGACGAACCAGAGTATTTCATGGGACCATCGACGACCGGTGAGACATCTGGACAACGACGTTGGAATGAGGCAAATTCAAATCGACCAAGGACGACAGCGTTTGGATAATTGCAATCGAGCGAGTCGCCATCTGTCTTCTGAAATCGGAACTGAGCGGCATATCGACCAATTATTGATCGCAACAGAATATTGGACGCATCCCGCAATACAACGGCCGGCGAGAAGGAGCTGTGAGCTGATTGGATGCGAGTTTCGGAACAAGAGAAAGAAAAAACGAGCACGTGTTGCCGAGAAGGCAGCCATTTTTTTATTCTCAATTCTGATCTAGACACCGTCATTGTTGGTGATACGGATTCATATACGCGCAGAATTGCATTAGAAAAACGGACAAATAAGTCATTTTGTTTAAATAAAATATTGTTTGCCAGTTGTTTTTTTTTGTTGTTGTTGCCAACAAGAGCACGTGGAGACGCCATCGCCGAACGATCGACGCCAGCCTTCCCGCCAATTGAGGATAACTTCTGACGAGCCAACACCGACCTCGGGGAGTTAACTACGGCCACGGGGTAAGTCTGATCGAGATTGTTATACTTCAGGGTGTCCTCACCGCGTTCTGTGTCGTGAACCTGGCCGAATTTCGCCAGGAGTTTTTCTTTTTTCTTGTTGATAATTTTTGTTCCCATAGTCGATTTCTTGCGGAATTTTTCTACGATCGAGTGACGACACTCTGAGGTACGGTACCGTGGGTTGTGTGTGACGTGTGTGTGCTTGTAGTGACTCACCACGTAGGAACTTGTTACCTCGAGCTTCTTAACTGTCCGGTAATCGATTATTTTAATTTCTTGGAATTGTTACTCGCCGTATCATTAATCTGAGGTTAATTAATTATCGAAATTAGTAAAAATTATTTAAATTTCGAGTGATTTGAAATTAAATCAAATTGTTATTTCGCCGACTACTTCGTTATTAACCATTAGAGGTTAATTAAATTTTAAATTGTTTACTGCGCCGTATTATAAATTGTAAACCCAATTTGAGGTTAATAATTTGTCCATTTGATAAAGTTAGTATTTGGAATTATTTTTTTATTATTGAAAAAAATTACGTTGCTTATCTCGCTGAATAATTAGTTATTAACGAATTTGAGAATTTATTGAGCCGATTTCGGACTAGTGTTCTAATTATTTTTGTGTTTATTTTAAAGAAAAAAAAACTAATTGTTAATTAATTTATGCGAAATTGTTATGACAATAATTTAAGGAATTTAACTGGACGATTATTGATTAATCGTAGCGACGATTTATTGAAGTTAAGTGAATTAAGCGAAATTTAGATCGTAGCGTATGAATATCGCGAAATCCTGAATTATATTAGCGCTTATAGGAATAAATTGTTAACTGAACATCCGTGAATTTTTTTATTTATTTGTTCCGCCCCAACAGCGACTGGTCAGTGGCGGCCATTGATGACGTTTTGTCAACACCAAAACCGCCTAAATCGCCGAATTCGTCTCGAAAGAAAAAAACCCCAGCGAATACCCAAGCGGTTCAACCACCAGTTGTCGAGGATCTTTCCCCAGAACAGCCGGTTGCTGCGTTGAACGCTTCGGCAAACGCATTCGTACCGCGCGATAAGATGGGTCAAACACGACCATTTACGATCGACCCTGCGCTCCGAGGGTGCTGCTTTAACTGTGGCCAACCAGGTCATCTCCGAGCAGCCTGTCCAAGCCCTCCTCGAACCGGCTACTGCTGGACCTACGGTTCAGTAGACTGTACAACCGCTGGATGCCCAGGTTGCATCCGCTGGCAGCAACGTAGAACGGCGTCACCGGGAAACGCTCCCCGGGGACAGCAGTAAACGATCCACCGCTGATCTCCGTCGAAATTGGGATTGAAATTCCGGTTAAAGAGGTTGCCGCTGTGGCTGCTTTACCTCTACCGGACATATTCGACATCGATATCGAGCCTTCTGGCCCAGTGAACCAGATTTCCGACGCTGCAAAACCCGAACCGTACGTACATCGACCCGTAACCGACCCGGACGACCCGTGCCGACTACTACCGCAATGCAATGTATGTGCATCTACTGAACGGCTATTGTGCTGTTCACAGTGTGAGAATGCATATTATTGCTCGAAAGAACACCAATCTGAGGATTGGCCAGTTACTGCTTCATTTGCGTACAGCCTGATGAACGAACCCGAATCTTCCGAGAATTTTCCGAGGAAGTATCCCCGACGAAAATTGACGAGAACGACCGACGACCATTCGTGGACGTTCAAATTGGAGAACGTACGATTAAAGCGTTGCTAGATACCGGAGCTTCTGTAACGTGTATCAAAGAAGTCGACGAGCGTAATTGGGTCTACGGACTAGGCGCTCGCGTACGACCCACGAACAAAAAGACCGCGGCTGTGGCTGATGGATCAGTCATGGCGATACACGCTTTAGTTACGTTACCGCTCGTTATTAATAATGAGATGCGACCCGTCGAAGTCCGAGTAATCCCGAAATTAAATTACGAAATGATTCTCAGCATGGATGCCATTGCCGCCTTTGAAATCTGTTACGATTGACAGACTGGGCGCTGGTGGACGAAACGAACCAACGATCTGTACGACTGGAACTCGAAAGCGTACCTCGATGGAGGGGACGTCGTGGCAATCGTTAAAATTACGCCTGAGCAACAACATGCTCTCGATGAATTGCTCGCTCGTAAACTGCCCTTAGTGAGATACACTGGTGAAACGACTTTCACGAACTTGATGACTCATACGATTGATGTACTAGGCCACGACCCGATTCGACAACGCAACGATCCGACGTCACCAATTATTGAGTCCTAAATGTACCGCCAAGTAGACGATCTACTGGCTGCGGGCATTATTGAGCCATCAACGAGCGCCTGGTGCAATCCTGTTATCATGGTAAAGAAAGCAACCGGTGAATATCGAATGTGCTTGGACTTTCGACGACTGAACGCCATTTCGAAACCTTGTGCATATCCGTTACCTTTGATGACTTGGATTCTCGATCAATTGAGCGGAGTTAAATTCATTTCTAAGATCGATCTGAAGCACGCTTATCACCAGGTAAAGTTAGACCCCGCAAGTCGCGAATACACTGCGTTCAGTGTTCCAGGCCGAGGTATGTTCCGATATGTAGGCATGCCATTTGGTTTTGCTGGAGCAACACCGCACTTTCAACGACTTATTGACACAATGCTAGAACGACGACGTGGACTTAGGGTCTTTGGCTATTTGGACGATTTGATTGTCGTCACGGAAACCTTTGAAGAGCACGCGGATGCTCTGAACGAAGTGTTCGATGCCTTGAAGGAGGCAAATTTGAAAATTAACGTTGACAAATGCGAATTCTGCACGGACGAGGTCCGATATCTAGGTTACCGTGTAAACGAACAGGGCCTGCTTGTCGATCCAGATCGGGTAAAACCGATGCTGGACTTCCCGAGACCGAAGAACATGAAACAAGTACGACGATTTCTTGGGATGGCATCGTGGTATCGATGTTTTATTCCTGACTTTGCGACTATTGCCGAACCATTGACAAGGCTGACGAGTAAGAAAGTCCGTTGGACTTGGACTGCCGAACAAGACGCCTCATTTGAAGCTCTGAAAGTAGCCTTGGCCACGGCCCCAGTGTTATCGTGTCCCGACTTTTCTAAGACCTTTGTGTTACAGACTGACGCCAGTGAAACTGGGTTAGGCGCTGTTTTGACACAAGAACACGAGGGTGGGGAAAAAGTCGTAGCTTACGCAAGTAGAATAATAAATAAAGCCGAGAGGAACTATTCTGCGACCGAGCGTGAATGCCTAGCCGTATTATGGGCATGTGAACATTTTCGCCGATATTTAGAGGGCTATCGCTTTAAAGTAATCACGGATCACAGTAGCCTTCGTTGGTTGCGTGATTTAAAAAGTAAGACGCCTCGGCTGAGCCGATGGGCGATGCGATTGGCTGAATATCAATTTCCGATCGAGTATCGTAAAGGCTCGTTAAATGATGTCCCTGATGCCTTGTCTCGAATGTTCGAACGCAACGAATCCGACACCGACGATGACGTATGCGTGGTCGACGAATAACCCGAACCTGACGATGTACCAGTGGCTGAATTAGTGGATGACTGGTACACACGACGCAAACGAGACGTATTGGATAACCCGAGACGATGGAAAGGATGGCGAGTCGAGGAGGACCGCCTGTACCGCTTTAAGCCGAATCGAATGATCGCGCAGGTCGTCGAGGACCTGGACGCCTGGAAGCTAGTTCCATCAAAAGCCGCACATTGGGGCATAATCGCCGAAAATCACGATCCACCTGAAGCTGGTCATTTAGGAGTCGAGAAAATGGCTAACCGAGTCGCAGTCGATTATTATTGGCCAGGAATGGACGAAGACGTGCGTAAATACGTCGCCAAATGTCCCGTCTGCCAGACTGCCAAGGTTTCGCAGCAACCACCCGCTGGACTAATGTGTCGACGAACCGTTCATATGCCTTGGACAGTTGTCGCCGCCGATTGTATGGAATTCCCGGCCAGCAGGAACCAATTCAAGTACACGGTTGCATTTCAAGACCTGTTCATAAAATGGATTGAACTATGCCCGATTAGAAAGGCTAATGGGCCAACGATCATTTAAGAATTTGATAAATTGATCGTACATTGTTTCCGTCGTCCCGAAGTGTTGTTGACCGACAACGGTACTGAATTTGCCAACAAATTGATGGATGAAGTCGCGCGTGCGTATGGAATCCACCATTCTCGTACCCCACCGTACCACGCCCAAGCGAATCCGGTGGAACGCGTCAATCGAGTTTTGAAAACGATGATTATTTCGTACGTCGATTGAGATCACCGACTTTGGGACGAACATGTCCACGAATTTCGACACGCATATAATACCGCTGTACACAGCTCATCACAAGTTTCCCCGGCCATGCTAAATTATGATTGGCAACCCAGGTCGCCGAAATACTACCGAAAACTGGTCGAAGGTGACGTAGAAATTCCCTGCCCTGATACAACCGCGTGGGAGAACCGTTTGACTAGACTGACTCAACTTCACGACCTGGTGACCGACAATTTAGGACGTAGTTTCGAACGCCAAGCCCGTTATTATAATCGTCATCATCGAGATGAGCGCTTTGCCGTCGGAGATGTTGTCCGTGTTAGACAACACGTGTTATCCCGAGGAGCCGATCGTTTTTCGTCGAAACTCGCGCGTAAATACTCCGAAGAGACGTATACCGTCTCGGCCGTTATCTCACCTGTCGTTTATGAAATCGCTGATTATAAATAAACAAAATAAAACAAAGTGGAGCGATAATGCTCAAGAGCACATCGACGTTTTGACTGACATTTCAAGATCTCCACATTTAAACGTACATGAACGTCTCCAGAAACAATTTTACGTCACACAGCTTAGATCTCATTATGAAAGGTTCCAAAGACAATTGCATGGTGTAGTTGGTGGTGGTAGTGTAGATCCTCATCAGCAAGTACAATTGAACGACCAGCGAATTATTTGGCGTGAAACGTGGCTGGTCTCGACTATTCGTAGAGACAACAAATTTTTACTTCACAAAATAAATAACTTAAATTTATTTAAATTATTAATTAAGTATAAAATAAATTATCTAAATTTTAGTTAAATATACTCTACGAACTGGGCTGAAAAGACACGCCTGTTACACCCGGAGTGTATTTAACTCGAAGCCGTGGCTTATAAGAGTCGATGCTACTCCAGATGCTTGTAGCTTTAGATTTTACGGCGGACAAAGACGATAGCTTTCAAAGCTACAAATAGCTAATTGATTTAATTCGCGTAAAGAATATGGTCCAGGGCAAATCGTGGGTGGCGATACTAGTTGAAAAGTGGGTTTAGCTCCGACACAAACCAACCTTTACCGCGTACTGCTCCGCTGATCGCTTAGTTGGAAAAATAGAGCTAAATGGTCGTAAAATACAAATATTGAAAAATACAGCTCAAAGTAAGTTCAATACCGCGTCCAATTCTTACCAATATACCACCTGACTTACAACAGGTACTACTACCACTTCGGTGTGCTTTAACGTTGTCCAGCGGTTGTAGATTCCTCGTGGCTGCAGCTGGGCAGGTTACTGGATCAGGAACAGACGAATAATCGAAGTGACCAACAACTAGGATCTTCCTCGAACAATGAAACGACGCTTTCCTCAACAAAATGGCTGACTACTCGAGACCTCTTGAGTACACGACATGCTATGCGAAATTATCTTGTGTATGCGTCGTATTAATTAATAAATGTACGACATACTCCTTGTTAACTAATAATCAGAGTCGTATCGTACTATTATAGTTTAAAATGCCGTTATTCTTTAATAAATGGTGTAAATGAACAAAATACCAAACATTACGTTGTAGCACGGAAAAAATAATTACTTATATTCCAAGAAATATATCAATTACAGAAGTATACATTATGGGGTTTGAATAAAGACTGCTTACACGCGGCTTTCGCGTATATTAAGTAACATTGAGTAGTGGGGAGGCGTTCTAGCGCCGCTATTAAACAATCTTTGTACTATAGACAATTATCATCTAATTTCTAGACTTACTTACATATTATCAGCAAATGCTAATATCAGGTGGTAAATTGGCTTTTACCTAATGTGATTCAAACGGCCACGTTGCAGTCCCCCCGGCTTGAGGGGGCTACACCTTTAGTTGTAGCTGGCTCAATATCCATTTGGAGCGGTGGATCAATGCACCTGAAATAAAACTTTGAGCTGCTATCTCTAATCCTAACGAAATTAACTTTTGCTGTTCATTTACCAATCTTTACTTTTATTTGACAACTGTGAATTACAAATTTTGTTATAACTTTTTATGACATTGAAAAAACAATAACCATGTAGTAACTTATTCTAGATACAAAAAATACTTTATATGGCACCTTGGTTCTATTTAATAATATTAAATAACAAGTTTAATTGTGTGATAATTATCATATTTAATAACAATGTTGTTTCCAACGTTAGCTTAATTTTAATAGAACTTTGGCACATGGAGATCAACTCCCTCTCAGTATATGTAACGCGATAATTAATAGAGATTAGAATATTTTAATCTTAAACACTCGTAAAATGAGAAATATAAAAAACCACAAATTTATAAGTGAACTTTGGATAAATCTTACTAATAATTGGAACTTTCTAACTTTGTATGATCAATATTAAACAAACTAAACATATTATTGCGTTTTATAGATATGAACGCTATTTTTTTTAATAAACAAACACTCAAAAAATAATAAAATAAACTTGTTAATTACTTGTAGATCGTTTTCTTGGAGTTAATTAATCTTATCGACGTCTCGGGACACTTTAAGGAAGGTATTGGGTACTTCCCATGTCGTCCTTCGCCTTGCCTACGCGCGTCAAACAGCGTCCACATTGTGGATCATACATCGGATGTGGAGTCTTGCAGGCGAAACAGTGATGCCGCATCCATTCAACTGTCTTGCGGTCTCGGAAAGCGCAAGTTTCGTTGCGATGACCAATTTTCCAGCAGTTAGTGCAATACTCCTCGCCAAATGCATCGTTTTTTTTGTACGCGTGATTTTTGTACGCGTGACCGATTTGTTTACACTTAATACATCCCCGCGGAGTGAACGGGAAGTTTCGAGTTTCCACTGTCTGGGTCTCAACATCCCGGGTTTTCGGTGAATTCTGCTGCAAGTAGTGACTGACTTGTCTGGTGATATACGCGTCTCATTCTTTCTTTCTCATGGTTTGGCGAATGTCAATCTTGGATTCTCGGCGAATTTCTCCGAGAGTCTCATGATGGGTTACCAACAGTGGTTCTGTATCGACCATACCTGGTTCGGGAAGGTTGATGTTTCGCGTTCCAGGTTCCTTTACTAAACCCAGCTTGCTCTTTAGTTCTTGATAAATGTTGATTTGTGGAACTTCTTTGATTAGCTTAAGGGAAGCTATTTCTGGATCAGCCGGACCACCGATGTGAGCGGGTCCCTTACAAGGAAATCTTTCCCAGAAAGTCTTCGTGTCCATGTACGCGTTTGATTTGTTAACAGGTGGTTGGGCTGACTTGCTCGGCTTTGAAATTGCTTCTGACTCTGGGATTTCTAAATTCAGCAATGTGTCCAGGTCACTAACGACTGCGATGTCAGTTCTTGTCTGTGAAATTACAGTGACTTGGTCTACCGATGCGGAGTCACTTGTTTCCATTTCAACTAGCTCGACTTGTGATTATGAATTTTCAAGTTCCAGTGGTTCATCATGGTCCGCGTATTGCCAGTGGATGTAGCTGGGTCTTAGCTCGCTCTTGATTCGCCGCATAGGTGAGACCGATGCTTTCAGATCAGGAACTCCTGTTGAATCGCTGTTGCCCATTTTCTCTGTGTTGATTATTGTTTTATTAATTCTATTCGATCCTCGAGGAATTTTTAAAGTAGAAGTATGGAAATTTCCCATGCTCTCACCACTCTCATTCACCAGCTCAACCATTGAAGCAGAAATATAGGATTTAATAAAAAAAGGCCCTCTCATATAAGGTAATAGTTTAGAAGAGAAACCATCAATAGCTTTGCTTAGTTTTCTATTTCTAATATAACCTTCTGTGCCTAACAGGAGGTCAAAGGGTGGTTTCGGTGGACCTAACGCTCGTCTACGCTCTTGGGTTTTATTCATACACTTTTCTACGTAATGTCTCATTTCATCAATATACTTCAGCATGTCCTCCCTAGTTTTAGAATCATCAACAACTTTTACATCAAGTTTGTCTCTATATTGGTCTAGATAAATCGGGTCCCTACCAAAATTAAGATAAGCGGGGCTGACATTTAAAGAACTATGAATCGATGTATTATACGCGTACTTTAATTCAAAAAGATATTGATCCCAAACATTTTGTTTTTTAATTAAATAAGATCTAATCATAATTTTGAGATTTCTATTGACTCTTTCAACTCGGTTAGATTGAGGGTGGTATGTTCGAGTTAGTTCATGTTTGATCTTTCGATCATTACAGAACTCTTCAACGAGTTTATTGCAAAATTCAGTCCCGTTGTCTGAGATAATGACTCGAGCGGTTCCCCAAGTGGTAAATACTCTACGTAAAAAATCAACAACTCCCTTCCCAGTCGGTGTATTAACTGCCTCAGCTTCGAGGTATCTAGTATAAACATCATAAGCGAATAAAATGTGAGTTTCGCCTCTTACGGAACGAGGCATAGGTCCTATAGCGTCAATGGATATACACTCCCAAGGTTATGTGATCGGTCGTCTACCTGGTTTGGGAATTGAGGGATTTGTATCAGGTTTTTGTAATAAACATGTTTGGCATTGTTGAACGTACTGCCGAACGTCTTTATACATGTTTGGCCAATAAAATAATGACGCAACTCGATTGTATGTTTTTTGGATACCCGGGTGTCCAGCTAACAGGTGGTCATGATTATCTTTTAAAATTTTATCTGTTTCATCATCGGGGATCACGCGTTTCCAATCCTCCGATTGTTCGATTGGGTAGGCTTGTTTGACACGATCGCGGTAATAATAAAGTGCGTTGTCGACTATTTTCCAAAATGGAAAACACTTGGGAAGTTTATTTACTTCATCCTTCTTCCTGTCATACCAGTTGGTAGATTTGACTCGGAAGTTTGTGATCATTTCCTCTTCTGTTGACAATACATCAACTTCAAGATGTTCATAAGCCCGTGATAACGCGTCTGGTGCTTCATTTTCTGTGCCCCTCCTGTGTACGATTGTCACTGGTAGTCCAGATAGCTCTGCAGTCCATCTAGCTAGTCGACTTCGTGGATCTTTGATATTTTTTAACCAGATCAAGCTCGCATGGTCCGTGATGACGGTAAAAGGGTATCCTTCCAAATAACCGCGTAATTTTTGCACTGACCATAATACGGCCAAGCATTCTTTTTCAGTCGTCGTGTAATTTTGTTCATGTTTATTTAAATGGCGACTGATAGCGGTTATCATGTATTCTTGATTATCTCCTTGTTGAGTGAGGATACCAGCGATGCCAGTGTCATACGCGTCGGTATACAATATGAATGGTAATTCATAATCAGGTGTGGCTAAAGTTGGTGCCTTCAGAATAAGCTTGTTTTAACTCTTGAAATGATGTCTCTTCGGCTTTTTCCCATTTCCAGAGATTTTTCTCGCTGGTGAGCTTATTCAATGGACCTTGAGCTCGAGCAACTCCTACTAGGTGTCTATGGTACCAGTTTATTAGCCCTAAAAATCGTCTGACTTGTTTACGCGTCGTTGGCCTGGGATATTCAACAATAGTTTTTATTTTTTCTGGATCTGGCGATATGCCTTCATAAGTAATAATAAATCCTAAAAATTTTACTGTCTCCTTACAGAATTCACTTTTCTCGCGATTAATTAATATTCCGGCTTCGCGTAATACCTTGAATACGACTTCTAACATAGTGAGGTGTTGTTCAAAAGTAATCGTAGCAATTAACCAATCATCCATATAAGCCTGAATTAAATTTTCCCACCATAAAGGTAACTCTCGGGCGCGAAGTTCCTGTCTAATTTTTGCTTTTAATTTATCTTTTAGCCTGATAAAAGTAATAAGGGCAGTTTTCAGTCCAAAGGGCATGTATTTAAATTGCATTAATCCACGACCTGGTACCGCGAATGCCGTAAACGGTTTGCTTCTCTCGCTTAATTTTATTTGGTAATATGCATTACGCCAGTCAAGTTTGCTAATAAATTTTGCGCGATGTATAGCGTCTAGTAATGTATCCATTCGATAAGGTGAATGAGCAACACCTTTGGTAATTGAATTTAGACCGCGGTAATCTACACACATTTTTGGTTCGCCATTTTTACGTGTTACAATTACCGGCTGGCTACAATACTCGCTAATACTTTCTTCAATGATACCTTGCTCGAATAATTTGTCTACTATATCATGGAGTAGTTGTATCATTTTATGGGACCGTCTATATTGTTTAGTAACTATAGGTCTGTCGCTGGTTAATTCTATGTCGTTTTCAATCATGTCTGTGACTCCCAGTTTCACTAAATTCATTTTTTCGAATTGAAGACTCAAAAACTTTTCTAGTATGTCAGTCTCGTTATCAGTCAGTCTTAAAAATCTACAAACGCGTTCTTCGTCCTTCACAACATCGATGTCATGAAGTACCTTTGATTCTCGAAATGTCCATTTATTGTCAATTAAGTCTAATTTAAAACCTCGTCTGGACATCATGTTAAGTCCCAATATCATGTCATCTGGCATCTCTGGAAAAACAGTAAACCATTCCTTCCAGAGGATGTCATCGATAGTTATTGGTAAACATACCCGAAAGTCATCATTAACTATTGAGTTGTCAGCTAAGATATATTTGACTCCTGTAACGTTTCTTTTGATTTTACACGCGTTCTCTTTAACCTTCTCGTATAATTGATTTGATATAAAATTTTTACTCACGCCTGTATCAAAAATCGCCTCAATAGGGATTGTCCCAACGTTTAAACTACATCGAAGAGACTGATTAAATCCTTTGGCTTGAGTTACGCGATAAGGTATGGCCATTTTACCGTCACTTAAAGTCGTTTCGTCTGTAAAATAGTCGTCTTCACAATCTGAAACTGATATTTTATTATTTTGGTAAGTTACTAACTGGGCTTTGGGTTTAGTATCGCTATGATTGGGGGGTTTTGGAGGAATTCGATTTTTCGGGCTCAACTGTTCGGACTTTTCGGCGCTTGTTGAGCCCTTTACGCGTTTTCTGAATCGCAGGGACAAGTCGCGTTTGATAGGCCAAGTGTTTTGCACCTAGTGCACATTTCTTGTCTTTCGTTGGTGCAATATCTTGTGTATTGGTCGCCTGCCATTCCGCAGTTAAAACACACGTAGTCTGAAGCTGGACCTCGATTTGGTGAACTCTCTCTGCTAGCCAACGGACTTCTGTTGAGGTCTGAGTCTTTTACATCCGCAGCAAAGCTCACGTGTCTTCCACTGTTTTATTTATTTTGTTTATTTTGTCGGTACTCGGATCCTTGTGGTCGTGTAAAATTTCCCCTGCGTTGTGAATAGTTGTTTTTTACATAGTTAATGGATGAGTCAATTTCGGTATCCTCGAGCACTTCTAGTTGAATTATCTCAGGTGATTGTATTACGCGAACTTGGGCAGATAACTGTGAATGTGATTTTTTCTTCACGAAGAGCTTCTCGTTTTCGTCATAGGCCTTCTTTAAATATTGTTAGTTGGTTGTGGCTATATTCACTGCTGAACGAAAACCGATATATTCCGTGAATTTGGTTAACGAAGCTCGACTTGGAGTTGTTTAGTTAGTCTCTGGGAGATGATGTTGACTTGGACTTCTTCGGATGGTGGAGTAGCCATCTCCATGAACAGTTTCTGCATATCATCAATGAATATTCGCGCTTCCTGGTCAGCTGCTTGATATTTATTATAAATCTCTGCACGCTTCGATTTTTTGACATATTTTATCGATCGCGGCTTTAATATAGATAGTAGTTACCGCGTTGTTAGTTAATGAGATGAAGGCTTGTGAGACATGTGCTAAATTTCCATCCATTTGATCAACTCGTTGAGTCAACCGGTGTATACGGTCCGTGATGGCCAGAGCTTCCTTGGCTGGCTGAGATAAACTATTCTTATTAAACGAGGACGTTAAAAAACTCATGTCTAAAATAGAGGGTATTTGCCCAGGGGGTAAGGAGTCTTCCGCGTTGGTTTGAATGGCTTGGGATTGTTTATCCTGGGGAATCGGAGTTAATTTTAACGGAGGTTTTACTACCTGGACGTTCGTCACTATCGGTCTGTTCTTTTTTGTCGCATCTAATGAGGACTGATTTGTGATAGCGTTTTCTGAGGAATCATCCATTAAAGAATCTTTCGGGTCTTCTTGGGATTTTTCGGAGATGTCGGATAAATTGATTTTGTCAAAACGCGCTGCTCGGCGGTGGGTGTATTTCCTTTTCTTGGTCATTGTTCAAATTAGTAAAAAAAAACTTTATAAGAAAAGGTATGAGTGACAGTTTGTATGGTAGAGGGCTTTAGCCAAGTAATTTAGGGTAGTTGGTCACGAAAGGACACAGACTAATTATTTATTAATTTTTAATTTTGATATTATTGAACCCTAGTTCAATATTTAATATTATGTAAATATTTAAGGTAGCATGAGTTTTTTAATATAACTTTAATGCTATCTGCCTTAATGTCTCAAATAAAATTTAAGATATAATTTTTACAAAGATCTGACTCGCGTTAATAAATAAGATTTTTTTCTTTTTGACAACTCGAATTAATTTTAAATAAATTAACAAAAATAATTTATAAAACAAATTTTTAAGATCTAATTATTTCCAAAAAATTGAACCGTGTCAATGAAAGTTTCTTTAGTCAAATTATTGTAAATCACTTACAAGAATAATTACAATATTTGAACCGGATTGAATATTAAATGAGCTAACAAAAAATAATTTCTAAATTTAATCTAAATTGAATTTTTAATATCAATTTAATTTATGTGCTTTAGTATATCAATAAATTTTAGAGATTTAATTATTACTGAAAAATTGAACCGTGTCAATAAAATTTAATAAGAATAATTTAATTGGTAATCTAAGAGCGGAGAAACTCGTCAAATCCACTCAGTTAGTTTAATGATGTGCTGATTGAGCCTAGGGTTACTTTTTCCAATTAAATTTAAACCGTTGACCTTTTAGTGGTCCTTGATATAAATTATTTTTTTGTCCGTGAACGCGTAAATTTTTCTCAATTTAAATTTATGTTTTAATTATTATGAATATTGATTAATTTTCACTAATCAGTCTATTGATGGTTTTTCTCTTTTACAGAATATAACAATAAGTAATAGCTTGAGACAGATATAGATTCCCAAACAGCAAAAATAGTTCAGATAATTTTAATAAAGTAACAGTATAGTAGCGACAGGTATACCCAGAGTTAGTTTCTTGCTTGAACAGCTCAAGCAGTAGCTTATTAATTAATTAATTGTTACTTACAGATATTCCAGTTTAAATAAATAATTTTAATTATTTGTCCTTTACGGTACTGCGCAATTTTTAGCCTAAAATAAGGACTTGGTCTAATTATTGGTGATTCCCAAACTTTCTTTGTTAATTTCTGCTTCAAAACTACTAATTTTTCCTCTCCTTGGTTGTTTACCCACTCGTTCAAATCACTCGTTCCTATTTTTACACAATATAATTAGTAAAATATTACACAACCAAATATCTACTATAGCATGAAAAATATACTTACAATTCACGATACAAAATAGTTTTTTTTTTTTTTTCAATTTATAACAAAAATGATAATAATTCCTTTTATAGGATTGTCAACTGCAGATTATCCAAGGCTACAGCCTGAATAAAATTGTTTAACGCGTAATGGCGTTCTTTGTTAATTTTTAATTACAATGCCGAATTGTCGATTTAACCGTAACAATTTTCTTGCTTATAAATTTAAATTAACTTTAACTCGATTTGATTTATTAATTACTTTTTAATCAAATTATTTAGTGGTAATTAAACAATTATATCTTGCAACGATTAACTTTTATTAGCTAAGACTTTGTCCGCTCGAACATCTGATTATAAATGAACAGCAAATTCAACCCTGGTCTATTGTGTTTGGGTGTCGTATGTGGTGAACAACGACCAAACGGAAAAAAGTATGGCGGCTCGGCGGTTGCTAGGCGACGGGCTGCATAGGCTAGTGTTGGCGCGGAAATTCTCGGTTACAGCGTCGCTGCTTCGCGCAGCTCTACGGAACTCGGTGGTGGAGGGAAAGAAGAGAGCAGTGAGGTAGTGACGCGCTACCGGCTTGTATACAAGCCAAAAACATACAGCGTTCAAATTCTAATTCTCGCGCTTTGTGTATTTAATTTTTCAGATAATAAATTTTTGTTTTTAAATAAAATAAATTTTTATTTAGATGTTAATGGTTTTTATAATGCAAATGTGTTTGAAGGACAGATTTATTTTATTGACTCGATTGAAATAAATGAAAATAAAATAATTTTTTTTTTTTAAATTTAATTTTTAAATTTTTAATGAAATTTTTATTTTTTAAAGAATTTAATTTTGCCCTGCCCCACGTTGGGCGCCATTGAAACGTGGCTGGTCTCGACTGTTCGTAGAGACAACAAATTTTTACTTCACAAAATAAATTACTTAAATTTATTTAAATTATTATTTAAGTATAAAATAAATTATCTAAATTTTAGTTGAATAAACTCTACGAACTGGGCCGAAAAGACACGCCCGTTAAACCCGGAGTGTAACTAACTCGAAGTCGTGGCGTATAAGAGTCGATGCTGCTCCAGATGCCTGTAGCTTTAGATTTTACGGTGGACCAAGCCGATAGCTTTCAAAGCTACAAATAGCTAATTGATTTAATTCGCGTAAAGAATATGGTCCAGGGCAAATCGTGGGTGGAGATACTAGTTGAAAAGTGGGTTTAGCTCCGACACAAACCAACCTTTACCGCGTACTGCTCCGCTGATCGCTTAGTTGGAAAAATAGAGCTAAATGGTCGTCAAATACAAATATTGAAAAATACAGCTCAAAGTAAATTCAATACCGCGTCCAATTCTTACCAATATACCACCTGACTTACAACAGGTACTACTACCACATCGGTGTGCTTTAACGTTGTCCAGCGGTGGTAGATTCCTCGTGGCTGCAGCTGGGCAGGTTACTGGATCAGGAACAGACGAATAATCGAAGTGACCAACAACCAGGGTCTTCCTCGAACAATGAAACGACGCTTTCCTCAACAAAATGGCTGACTACTCGAGACCTCTTGAGTACACGACATGCTAAGCGAAATTATCTTGTAATTTAAGAAATATATCAATTACAGAAGTATACATTATGGGCTTGAACAAAGACTGCTAACACGCGGCTTCCGCGTATATTAAGTAACATTGAGTAGTGGGGAGGTGTTCTAGCGCTGCTATCAAACAATCTTCGTACTATAGACAATTATCATCTAATTTCTAGACTTACTTACATATTATCAGCAAATGCTAATATCAGGTGGTAAATTGGCTTTTACCTAATGTGAGCCAAACGGCCACGTTGCAGGCGTGATGTTGAAAGTGCTTTTGCCAGTAGAATTTGTACTGGTATGGTTGTGAATCTACTTCACATTGATCTCAAAGCCTTTCTTCTTGAAGATAAAGAATTAATTATTGAGTAAATAAATAATGCCCTGCAGACAGACGGTAGTATCAAAGCCAACGTCATTTTAACTTGCAAATTTTGGAAATCAGCTGCTGAAAAACACATCGTTGAAACGAAGACATTTACAACCAAAAATGAAGCTGTTTTATCATCAATCAACATCAGCGATTGGGCTGATGAGTTTATCGTCGATCGTCTCCAAGCGAACGTTGAAGATTTCGAGCATTGTTATTCTGGATGGTCACTTCGAGAAATTCCCAACATTACTCTCAACATCAACAAATGGGTTCCACTTGAAGGTGGAAATGGTTCAACCTACACTACTTTGCCGAAAAGTATCAAGGATAAGAAAGCTGTAGTCAATATCCACAACAATGACAACTTGTGCTTTCTGTGGGCTGTTGTTGCTGCTTTCCATCCTGCTCCTGATTGGAAAAATGTAAGTCGAGTTACATCATATCCACACTATAGTCAAGTTCTTAATTATTCCGGGATAAAATTTCCAATTACTCTTAAAGATATTCCAAGATTTGAAAAAATGAATAATTTATCGATAAATGTGTATGGTATTGAATCTGAAAATGTAGAATCCGAATATGTAGAATATGGGCTTGTAGACAATGTTGATGATGAATCATGTGTAATAGTGCCACTTTATTTAAGTAAGAAAACCTTAGATGATGATAATGATGATACAATTCACCTTCTTATGGTAGAAGTTCAGTCAGATGACACAAAAATGAATATTGACGATGATAATTTTGAGAATAGAGTCAATAATTTTGAACGTAACTTTCATTTTGCAACAATTCGAGATCTCTCGCGATTGTTAAGTAGTCAAATCCTACAACACAACGGCCGAAAGTTCTTTTGTGATCGATGCTTGTGCCACTTCCAAGATTTAATTGTATTTAATGAACATCGCCGGGATTGTATTCAAATTAACAAAGTTAAAATTGAGCTTCCAATTGAAAAAATTTTAAATATCAGGAAGATGTACCGTTCGTTGTTTATGCCGATATCGAGTGTCTAATTGTTCCAAAAATTGATGAATCTGAAAAGCATGTCCCTCATAGTGTAGCTTTTTATGTTCATTGTTCATATGATGATAGTTTATCTAGATTCGAATGTAATCGTAGCGAAAAATGCATTGAGTGGTTCATGGATCAATTAAAGTCTTTAGCTATTTCAGTTAGTAAAATAATTAAAAATCCGATTAAAATGTTTCCTCTTACTGATCAAGAAAATATTAAATGCAATAACTCTACTGTATGTCATATATGTAATAAATATCTTGCTCGAAAAGATAAATGTAGAGACCATTGTCACTTTACTGGTAAATTTCGCAGCGCAGCTCACAAAAAATGCAACGTTTTGTACCAACAGTCTCACAATATTCCGATTGTATTCCATAACCTTTTCGGATATGATTCACACTTCATTATCGAGTCGGTAGCTAAATGTTTTCCCGGTTCAGTTTATTTGTTACCCATCAACAAAGAAAAGTACATTGCTTTTACTAAGAAAGTTGATGGTACAATTATTCAATTACGATTTACAGATTCCTTCAGATTTATGGCGAGCATTATCGAAAAATTGGCATCTTATCTCAATGAGGCTGTTTTGATAATTACTCGCAATAATATACCAGACCCCCAACAGTTTGCTTTAGTCACACGGAAAGAAATTTTTCCGTATGAGTTTGTTGACAGTTGGGACAAATTAAATTACACTCAATTACCAGATCAACATAAATTTCTCTCAAAATTGAGTAATTCAAATGTTTCCAATAAAGACTATGAACATGCACAAAAGGTATGGAATACGTTCAACATTAAGACTTTGGGCGAGTATTCTGACTTGTATTTAAAAATTGATGTTTTGTTATTATCTGATATTTTTCAAAACTTCCGTAAAACTTGTAAAACGACATACAATTTAGATCCGTTGCATTACTACACAGCTCCCGGCTTAGCTTTTGATGCAATATTAAAGTATACTCAAGTTTCTTTAGATCTTTTGAATGATCCAGCCATGTTGCTATTTTTTGAGAAAGGTATTAGAGGCGGTGTTGCTCAATGCTCAAATAGATATGCTCGCGCTAATAATCCATTTATGGGTGATGAATACAATTCCGACAAAGAAAATTCATACATTATGTACTTTGGCGTAAATAACTTGTACGGTGCAGCGATGAGTCAGTGTTTATCAACTGGTTCATTTAAATGGGTTGATGCACCATTAGATTTTATTCTTCAAACTGGATGATAATCCAACTGGTTACATCTTGGAAGTGGATCTCGAGTATCCAAAGCATCTACATGAGAGTCATAAAGACTTGCCTCTTTGTGCACTTTCTCCCACCCAATAGTAAATGTGAAAAACTAGCAACAACATTACATGACAAAAACAACTATGTAATTCATTACTGTAGCTTAACACAATGTGTACAGCTAGGTATGATTGTAAAACAGATTCACAGTCTTGGAATTCCAACAATCGCCATGGTTAAAATCATATATTGATCTAAACACAGTGTCGTAAAAAAGCAACTGATGAATTTGGTAAAAACTTTTACAAATTAATGAACAATGCTGTATTTGGTAAAACCATGGAGAATGTTCGGGATCATAAAAATGTTAAGTTGGTGGGTACATGGGGTGGGCGATGTGGTGCAAGATCATTAATTGCAAAACCAAACTTTCATAGTTGTACCATTTTTGGTGAAAATTTAGTAATTATTGAAATGAACAAAGTTAGAGTAACATTCAATAAGCCCATCTACGTAGGCTTTTGTATTCTCGATTTATCAAAAATCATTCTTTATGACTTTCACTATAATTACATAAAAAAATCATTTGCTCCTGATCAAGCTAAACTCCTTTACACAGACACAGACAGTCTGCTTTATCATTTTTGTGTTGAAAACATCTATGAAAACATTAAACATGATATTAATCGTTTTGACACTTCTGATTATCCTGAAAACAATGTCTATGGCATTCCTCAGGTTAATAAGAAGGTGCTTGGTAAAATGAAGGATGAAAACAATGGCAAAATAATGGTAGAGTTTGATCAACTTCGTGCCAAATTGTATTCTTTCAAAGTAAATGATGATAATGATAAGAAAAAAGAAAAGAAACGTGCAAAAGGTGTCAAACATAGTGTATCAAAAACTATTGCGTTTAATGACTTTATTGAATGTTTAATGAACCATAAAGATCTCAAAGAAGATCAATACTTCATTAGGAGTAAACAACATAAAGTGTGCACTATCTCACAGCCAAAGCTTGCATTATCTTGGAATGATGACAAGCGATGTCTTATTGAAGGCCAAACTGATACGTTGCCTTGGGGTTTTTGCGAATAATTGTACTTTTGTATTTGATAGTAAAAAATTTTGTATTAAAACTTACATGTATGCATGTGTGTGATAAAAAAAAAACTTTGTATATATGGTATGAATGGAAAATTGTTTTGTAAAACAAAAAAATATTTTTTTTATCAATAAAATTTATTGTTAATAATATTTACATCTTTCGGTTTCATTTTGATTGTTCGATGCTTTGTGTTGTTATATGTAGGAACCAAATCAGATAGAATATTGAACCATTTGTAAGTTCCACGAGTTGTAAACTTTACCCACATTTTATTTTTCAGAGTCCTGTTGAATCGCTCACAGATTGATGCTTTGAGATTGCTGAAGGTTGATTACATGTTGATTCCATGTTGTTTCATCAAAGCTTTGAATTCACTGTTGTAAAATTCTTTCCCCTGATCCACATGTAGATTTTGAGGAACTCGTCCTTGTTTAAGCACTGATTTCATAGCATTAGACACATCTTGAGCCTTTTTAGTCTTTAAAGGAACAGCCCAAGCAAATTTTGAAAAAATATAAATAATAGTAAGTATAAACTTGTGTTTATTGTTTGTTGATGCATAAGCACTCATATCAACAAGATCAGCTTGCCAAGTTTCATCACGTCCACGTATGTCATCATGTCGTCGTGGATACTTTTTTCGAGCTGGAGCATGGAGCTCATTTGCTATTGTTTCTTTTACATTAGAACCCATCGTTTTTTAAATTCAATTCATCATGAACGTGTATAGAATTACTTATAATTGATTTGTTTGATTTGTTTGATGCTTGAACCTGTCTCATGGAAATTATATTTTCTCCTGCTTTACTTGACAAATTTTTTTCTAATGCTGTCACTCGGGCTTCTAAGTTTTGAATGATTAGATCAATGTCTTGTCGCATCAGCAAGCGTCCTTCATTTAATAATTGAACTTCATTTTTAATAAGATTTTGAGCAACTCGCAGAGATATAGCGTCTTTGGAATCCTCACATTCAGCCAAATTACACAATCGTTTGTCCTCTAAGTTGAAATGACCATCATCTGTGATTCTAAATCCAGGTCCTGGTGGTCCACTACGACCAATTTTTGATGATTTATTTTTTTCCAATTCACGTCCAAATATGTCGATACTCATCGTTCGAATGCTGGAGCAACAATGATCAATTTCAACAGCTAGCACTATGTTAATATATTATTTCAGCTTCACGAAGTTCTTCCATGATAGAGATGATTTCATTAGCATGACTTGTATTTCCAGCTGCTTGGGACGCCATCAGTAGGCAAAGTCGATCAACAATTTCATTGGGATCATCCCAATAGACATAGTCCATTTTTGCGCTAACTTGTGTCGCTACTTTATATTTTGGTAATCCTTTTCCTTTGCTTCTTGATGATGATGATTTGACTTGCTTTGCGATGTAATTCTTGAATTTGAAGCTTTTTGCATCTCGAATACTACCATTGATGTCATATTTTTTCATATGTGCATTTGTTTGCTTGATTATAAGACCATAAGTTTCTGAATCACTGCTCGAAATGAGTGAACTGTCTGGTAACTTTTTGAATAATAATTCTATCAGTCCAGGTGTCTTAATATAAGTTTGATCACCTATGCGGATGTTATCATCAAGGAATGTAATTTCTGAATCACCAAACCTCAAATGTCCTTTCAGTTTTCGCACACCAGTGTGCATATCCAATGTTTTATGTTTTGTTTTTAATAATCTTAAATATTTTGATAATGAATCTTTCTTATCATCTCTGATTGGTGTGCTTGAAGCTGTAGGATTATTATTATACATAATAGTTGAATCGTCACCTAAGCTCTTATTTTCAGATCCATCAGTATCTTCTTCACTAGAAATATCATCATCATCATCTGTTGTTATTGTTGAATTCTGTTTTACTTTTTGTAATGATGTTGTGTTGAATGTATCGGCTGTAATTCCTTCTTTTATTCGATTCGAGGAATCCAATAATTTTTGCAAAGGTTTCACAACAGGTTTGAAAATTCCATTTGCAGCTTGTTCATCATTGTCTTTGTTTAATTTGAAAAGTTTATGCTTTAGACGAATTATTTCACTCGCTTTAGCTATTTGCCTCGAAATGTCACTCTGTTCACGTAATTTTTCACTCTTCATGTTGATAGCTTGAAGATCAAAATGTAACTGAACAACATTCAGTCATCACGCATACTTATAAAAGTATCGAATCCCTTCCTGTATCGTCCACCGTTGAGTTCACTGTCTTTATCAATCATAATGAAATAAAATTTATCGTGATTCCAACAAGCATTACACATTTCTCGGAATTGTTGATACGTCATATCTGTGTTGACGTGATCGTCGTAGATGTGCTTATGGTTCATTTCATCTTGACGAAAGATTATAAGCATGTTTCGTTGTCTCGCACCAGATGCTTTGTAGTACGAGCATAAGCTTGACAAAGATAGAAGCTGTCAACATCTTTGTAGCGTCCCGTACAAAAATATGCTCCAATATGATTTTGTTTTTCGCATGCTATGTCATCAAATATCATAACTGAGTTAGGTCGAGCTTCGTCAAGTTAAACAACCTGCTCATTATCATTGAAAGGATGGTATCCAATACCTTTTATTGGCTTAAGTAAATTTTTCAAAAATTTATA